TCAAATTCGATGAATGTAAACATGTTACGGAGTATGTCTTCAATCGATTATTTTCCATGTACAAAAACCTTTGTTTGATTGAAAACCGCTGCCAACCCATTCGTCGAATAACAGAAAACAACTTACGTGAACAGAATCAAAGAGAATAGAATCCAATAAAAAGCTAATTAAAACCACATAAATCTTAGTTTAACGATTCATTTATTCTTCACAGCATTGCGTATGACTTTTGAATTGTAAAGGAACTTCTGGCCTTTAAGCAAGAGGAGCTGATGTTTAAAAGCCATTTTACTCAATTCCTTTCCACTATCACGCGTCGTGACTGCAGGCGTCCAAACAAACGTTGTAGTTATGAGTCTGGCAATTTAGAAACCATTGAGCCAATATCAGCCAGTTAATATTTAAGATCTTGCACATAACCGTTAAAATGCGGGTATCGGAAGAAGCCAAAAGCCCGGGGGAAATGTCCGGCCGGGCAGATTCTCCTATAGTTCGGTTTAACGACGTGCCGACTAGCTTGTTTTAAAATATTCCGTAATCGAAGGCGTTCGATATCCAATTAATTTCTATGTAATGAAGGTTGCCCAAAGAATTGGAAGCCATAATTGTAAATTATTTAAATTGGGTACTTGATATTTGGTGGTGGAAATTGGGTAAGTTTTCAGTTAATGATTTTGCGGATTGTAATAACGTTACGTAAGTAGGAGAAGGTAGAGGTAAGAGAAATAAGGATCGAGAATATGGAAAATACACATGAAACACAATTCTAGATCAGCGTTTTAATACGAAGAGTTTTAGAATAAGAAGTCTCAATGAACTATCATTTGGATAGTTCGATTTGAAACGATGTTAAAGAGTAATAGGGTAACACAGATTGTAATAAAAATACAAAGACAAACTAGTATGTTGTTTTAATTCGGAATCTACAAACAAAAGACAGACAAAGCAAGTAAAATACTGGAAATTGTCGACTAGATAAAAAACAAACTGAAGGAAATAAGCTTCTGTGGTACAAGGAAGTGCTGGTAAACTGGTAACCGATGCTAGTGCTATTGAGTGTGTTTATACCTCTTGCTGGATTGTTAACAATATTGATGTTTTTCTACAGTATGATGGAACATTTTATTATGGACGAAATATCTGATTTTATTTGCCGATCGTAATTACACTGATAAATATAGATAATGTTGTAAGCAAATACCTACTAATTAGGCCTCATTTCTCATTTTCCAATGTTATATTTGCGTATTTAGATAGAAATTTTAATGAGGTGTGCCAGTCTATACAATTTTTTGAAGGTATAAATGTTGGCATAGTATTAGAATTGTAATACCTACTCTTTACAGCTCTATAGGATACAGAAATTAAATGTTGTATTAATTAAGAGTTTAAACGTAGTCTTCCACAACGCCTTAGTTGAGTTTTCCGTTCTAAATAATACAATAAACGAACACCCACGTAGAGGCAATTGTACGCTACAGTCAAAGATCTTCACTGGCTGGCAATAAGATTTTCTAATATAAAAATCATAAGTATGCCGAAAAACGGGACGATCAGAATTTCGCGTAGGCAGACACTAAGCGCAAGGTCACACACGATGAAGGAATTTTAAATAAAACAAAGGAAGACTGTCATCGAACGGTTTCGATACAAAAGGTCCCCTTATATTATTTCACATCCCTATTCCATGCATGTCTATATTTTTACGATCGGTGTCCATGCGTCGTATTCCATAAATCCCATGGAATATTTAGAAGAACAAAGCCAGTTGCGAAATTTAACGTCCATGGTTATATGGATTTTGGCGTCAATCCAATACGCAGTACGGCTAGTTATATTTATGTTTTATACGCATTTTGAATAAAGGGCCATACATGCATATTTGGCAATTGCTCTCTGTATCGCTTTCACTGAAATGTGGTTGTGGCCAATCACAGGACAACTAATTAATTTGTGGTCCACCCAATGGGTAGGTACCAATTGTTGGCCAATTATAGAACGTAAGTCTGCGTATGTAAATCCTACAATTATTTCAATTAGAGCTAAAACTGCTGTTATTTTTGTGACGAATTGAGATGAAGTTATCAATTGTAGTAATATAATTTAGCCGTATTCATTTTAAACATGATGTCCTTGATGGAATCACGGTTTTGTTAGGATTACAATCCCTGAATTCACAATTGGAGAGGGTATACAAAATTAGGTTGATTGAGCATTGACAGTTAGGTAAAGAAGCTAAAATAATAAAATTGATACCTTAGATATTCATGATTATGAAGAACTACATGTAGAAAAGAAGAATTGCTTACTGAAGTGGAACCTTGGTTCAGTGCTTACAAGGGCGACTATTAACGATGATAGTAAAGTAATTTGTTATTCCAAGTAAAGCATATCAATTTTATAAAGAAAATATCAAAAGACAGAAAGGAGAACGATGTATTGGCATAATGTAGATAATGAAACTACTAAGAATATTCTGAAAGAGGCCGCAAAAATCGAATAAATCGAACCAATACACTCGTAAACTAGAAATCAAAGAACATCAAAACATCAATTTTATTACAGTACAAACATACTCTGTAATCTCACATACTTGTGTATTACTTGTACCTAATCATGTGGAAATCGGTGACGTAAGATCGGAAATGTGAAACAGAAGTCGAACGATACATTATGATTATGCAAAGTGACTTCCGTCTACCTTATCTTAAAGATTAAAATGCCGTGATAACAAATTGTTGGCGTAGGTACAATGATTTATGACTACTCCTACGTAATGTAATCTCTAAGCAGTAGAGCTTATTCTTTTGTTAAATAAGAATTATTTGTTCGCGTTCCTGTTGCGATTTTTTTCACTAAGTTAGTCTGACCTTTTGTTAAAATGCGTTCATTGAATCTAAATAATTATGTGATAATATGTACAGCGGACATTGTCAAGGTTAAGGTCAGATCGTTGTTATGGAAACTTTTGTTTCCAAATTTTTACCATCATCGTTTGATGTGACAAGTTACTCATAGTTTTAATTGTCGGCTTCGGATTTTAAGAAGGTACAACTTACACTACTAATTAATCTTTGCTATGTTTTCTGCAGCATTTTATGAAACCGTAACAAAAACAGTTCGTTTATTTAAAAAGTCAGTTACACAACATGCGTAAAAAATCGTTCTCAATCCCGAACATCGACACCGACTGAATAATAAACGAAGTAACATTTAAAACTTCCCTGGAGTCGCGGGTGGAAACAGTTGCCAATCCGAAGGTGAAGGTCAAGTACTCCTGTGCCATGTATCGTACGCGGAAATCATAACGGAGTGAAACAAGCTGAAGTTTGGAGGGTTATATGTATATCCTTCCATACGCACTCTCATATTTGTCATCGTAACAAGGATTTTATTGCCTTACTTATGTTATTGCCCCTTTTGTCGCCCTCTCCGCTGTTGAACATAAATATTACTTTGCATACCACTTCTTAAATTGTATTACATTATAATATTGTATATTGTGTGTGGATAGAGTTCGTTGTGGATGTTTTATTTTATGTTATTTGTTGTTGCAGTGTCAAGAATTTTCTTAAATAATCTATGTAATTCGTAAATTTGTGTAGTAGAAATAGCTTTTCAATGAATTTTGTAATTTAAAGTATTGTATCCGTTGTCTCTGTAGCAAGTACATATAACAATACTTTCAAAATGCTTCGTTTACTAAGTCAGAAGTGCACCGTTCAATGATCAACGCTTAACATAAAGATGTGTATGAAAGTGTTCTCGAAAGCCGTTAAGGCGTCAACGTGTTTCTCTTATAAAGCTTATCCAATTATTCAATTTGACTGAACGAAAATGAAGTTACGTGTGTAGTCGCCACTTAAGCCTCTCGTCTGAGGGTTTTATTGAGTTTGAGTGAGCTCTTAAGGAGGAGGCTTCCTGGGGAGTCCAAGATTCTGCTGACGTAATGTCATTGTGTGCTGTAAGTAGCTGTTTCCGTGTGAGTTTGTTCGCTTGTGAAAAATCATTTAGGGTAGGGGTAGGCGTCAAAAATTGGAAGAAGCTATTTTGTGGTTTCCTCATCTGTTATAATTTGCACGAATTGATTCAAGCAAGATATAGTCCAAAATTCTTTTTCGTAAAATATATAAAAAAATTAAAACCTACTTCATAGTCAATCGCAATCGTCAGTTAATAGGTCGATAATGTGTAACCTATATATGTTACCATTAGGTAATAAAATAACGAAGGACAATGAATGAGATATATGGAGAATAATAATGGTAATGGTGATGTCAGATTCATTTGTAAACAATAAATAAGTACTTCATTATCATAGTACCATTAATTACCTTCTGAGGGTGCGGTCGTATGAACAAATCGTAGAACATAAATCGCAAACGTGGTACTTAAATGCGTATTACAGAATGAGGATACAATTATGCATCGTATAATCCCATGGAAATAAATCCAGTTACAATTAGAACTCTAATGTAATTGATTTAAATGTCATGTGTATCGTTCTTTGCTTATACCTCTACATAGGCGGACCACATGCGCCAACGACACATGGCTCTCGAGGTTTTATTAAACGGATTCTTCTTCCTATTTGCCGATTGGAAAATTCCCCGAGAGGGACTGGGAATTCGATTATGCCTGTCGTATGCCTGTCTTGTTTGCTTGTCTGTTCATAGTAATGAAATGTAGTACTGTAAAACTATTTTTATTCATATCGCACCTGGCCATTTATGAACCCGGCTAATAAATCGTACGGTATCGAAAAAGTGACGGGCATTGTTTTTTATTGAAACGCAAATAGAGGTTGGCATTATTCGGGATAAATGGAACGTGAAAATATTTGCACCTCTATAGAATTTGATACTGCGATGTTCGGTGCTCGTGTTTATTCTGTACTGAGTAGTGCTGTGCTCAGCCAATATGCCATATTGGGAATATTTTATTTCCGTCTCTTTTTGAAATGTAAGTTTTCTCTTTGTTCATCATTGTTGTTTTTCCAGGTGTTTGGTGTCGAAGTTGTTCGATGTCTGTTCGAAGTCAACGCCCGAGCAGATGGAACAGCTCGAAGAGATTAGAATACCGTGGGGTAGTGGAATCGTCGGCTATGTCGCCGAGAGTGGAGAGCCCGTCAACATACCTGATGCGTATAAGGTTTGTGGAATATATCATCTCAGTTTTAAACCAGAAAATATTGTTCTTGAATATAATATATTATATTTTTAAGGACTCATTTCCAATCAACTGATAATTTTTAACTGTAGAAATGGATAATTGACAGTTATTAGTATAGAAGAATAGTCAAATATTTAAAATTATTCCTTCGTAAAAATCTGGCGTTGGTAAAATCAGTCCTAACCGGGTTATTAGACTGGAGTCCTGTAACCTTACTTTCATTTTGAAACAATAATTGTAAGTTAAAAGAAACATTTATATTTCTTATCACAGTTTTTCAAACACTGACACTATCTAGAATTTTAGTTCTTGGCATTTTAAACTAATCTAATTATATTTTGAGCTCAACCGCAGTAAATTATATTGTGACACTGAAACGTCTGAAATACTCGTTATAATCAATGTCACAATTTTCGTCTGTCGACTTTTTATTACGGGAAATTGACGAAATAATACACGTTTCTTAGAATTAAAAATTATTCACCTCCAGTCGGGGAAAATTCCTGAATATAAATTCGAAATAAAATCCTAGAACTCTTGCCACTCGACCCTCATGATAGAACCAAACAAATCGAAGCAAATTTTATCAAATAAAACGGTAAGGAGAATGGATTTGCCGAAAAAGAAGAAGATTCTTAAGTGAAAAGCCGCCTATAACCTAAAAATCACTTAGATAATTAACAAATTCATGAAGATAACTTTTTTGGAGTACACCTTCAGATGTGTTATGAAAAGAAGTAAGCATTTGCTTACTGTTCAAAGCTACCTCATTTCACGTTCCACTTGATTCCAAAAATAGCCTTCGTAATGAAAACTCGCGTCTTAAGAATGTTTGGGAAACACAAACCAAAATAGCAATTTAACCATACGACCGTAATACATCTGCAATATTTTTTTTATTACTTTTTCACGTCCTCTTAATAAGTGAACCGTCATTTTTTTAATTGGATTAACTTCATCCGAGTAGGTATGCCATGTTCGTTCTACATTAAGATTATTTAAGATATTTACCGCAACCGAGGCCGTATCAAATTGGACGTTGGAGTGAAATACGACAAGTAATGTTGGTATTTAGAAAAATGATGAACTGAAATTTTAAGAGGATTAAAATACGTCGATTTTCGGTCAGGACATTACGGTGTAAATACCTATCATTCGTCTGGATGATATATTTTACTAGCTGTTACCCGCGACATCGTTCGCTTGAAATTATTCATATTTCTTGTTAATTTATACTTTTTGACGCTAGAATGTGTTGATTGGCAAGGCGAATAAGAGAGTTAGTATGCAACGAAACGTTTATTGTCTATTCAAGATGGCGACTGCGGTTTGTCTGTCAGTGTCATTAAAATGAATTAATAAAACGAAATAATCTCCGTAATCAGAATTTGGTGGATATATTTTGTCAACTCGAAATCGATATTTTTTATGTTTTGTTATTCAGGTAATGTTTCGATCAAGTCTACCGTACCCCTTGACGAAATTATTAATATAGATTTGTCATTTATGACTGCTTCATTCATTTAAAGACATGTGAAGCGCATTCGTAAGCATTTGGTACAATTTTTGGTCTAAAGGAGGTGTATACTTGTTTATTACGTACATTGTACACGTACTCGTGGCTAGTCCAGTTGAAAGCGGTCGTTGTGTCTCGATGAGGATTACTTTAAAATATCAAATACGAGTGTCAAAATATCAAAGACAACTCTTTAAAGGGTGACAGTGTGTACGTAAATTAATGTGATTCTGTACATTATAAGGTCAAAGTTATAAGTCAACATTTCGATGCAGTCCTACTCGACTTTTACTCTCTTGCTGAGAGTGATATTATTATTCATATGGATAAAGATAAAAGGATCATATTTAAAACGACAATGTAAGTTAATGAAGCTAACTGATGTTTTGTGCCCAACGAATCCCGCCCAGGGTCATGCAATATATGAGACGCAAAACAAAAAATATGTAACTGTAATATCCTTTTACGAGCGAGCATTAAACACTGACAGAAGCACCGCTTACGGTACTCTGTGTATTAAAGCATATACATATATGTATGTACTTGTATATCTACTAGTCCTTTTTTGTTCGAGTGGTTATAATTGTGGTTCTTCTTATTGACAGTTATGTTATGAATGACCTAAATATAATAAAAATAATAAATACCTCGTTGGGTGAGTGGTCGCAAGTACTGCCGGGCAAGGGGTCTCGGGGTCCATTTCGGGGTCGGGCAACGTATTATTTGCCGGGTTTAAAAAAAAATCTCAGTAGTAGCACGGAGTCTGGAAATGTGCCCGGTATATGGCAATAGGTTCACCCCCCACACATCATAAATAGTGAAAAGTGGGTATTACTTTGTGCTCTGACATTAAGTGCCGTAATGTGCACCTCTTCCTACTCCTTCTAGATAAAAGGCGTGATGTTATGTGTTATGAATCCCTTGTTTTCTAAAGTGACAAGTCTTCAGCGAGTACTACTATTATTGTAAGCTCTGTATTGTATTAATTACTACGAGTGAACTAAGCCGAGAAAATTAGTACATAATTCTGGCCTGGTTTTAAAATTGACGTTGACCTCTTACCTTGAGTACTAACAAAACCGTTCGAAAAAATAATTACATTTTTTTAAGAACGTCATTATTAGAGAATGTGTACATTGTTTAAGTAATGCCTAAAAATACAGTGGATAAAAAATAACCACCTGAAATGGTTTTCGACTTGTCCATTGGACATTTCAATTATACGTCGACAGTGAGTCGAGTCGACTATTTTTCAGCAGACAGTCATTACGTCTGCATTTTATCACCTCAACATTTATTGACGTACTGACAATTTATTTCTTGTATTTCTTACTGACGCCTGGAGTGCGTCAAATGATCGTGTTTAAATAAATGCGACATTTTTACCTGTCTATATATCTTTTAAGATAAAAGCTAAATTTCTTTTTGATGAATAACGATTGGTTTCCTATCTTGAAATGGAGATCATGAACGTTTGGGGTTCTAATAGATATTTTTCTATCGGTATCGAATGAAAATAAAGGCATCACCTTTGTACTGTTATCTTACGCATACTTTGAAAGATAAAACTGTTTAATAAGGAGATTAGGAATGTACCACATAATTAAAACTGCGGGGACATGGTGTTGTTAAGTTTTAGTTAAATATGAAAAAGCACCCCCTATTACATGGGACTCGAAACATAAGTAGTGAAAAGTGGGTGTTACATTGTACAGTGGCATTAAGTGTTGTAATGTGCATCTGTGTAGACACAGGGATTTCATACGCAATATTTTAATCTATATAATATATACCTATATATGAAAAAATCCATAAAAAATCGCATCATAGGGCCAGTAAATATCCCTGTAAATACCAAAAATGTAAGCAGCCATGCTTTAAAAATCAAATAATATGCTACATTGTAATATTTCCCGGAAAATCTATCCACTGTTCACTCGAAAGGTTTCAATGCAATTTCATATGATGGACGCCTAGAGGCGTTAAAGGAGCTAACTTCCATTATTCAAACGCCACTGCAATTTTTATACCTGACACATTGTTGGCATTCACGCCCATAGCCTTTAACGGGAAAACGTTTTATAAAACTCGTGTCTACTTTTCCAAGAAGAAATGATAACTTGATTTGATCATATCCAAGAATTATATTAATGGATATTCCATTAAATAAGTTCAGTGGAAATGTTGGTTTATGTTCGTAATTTCGTTCATGCCTTCGACTATCCATATTTACATTAATTAGCCCATTCCATTGAATTAAAATTGACCTGGAACATTTTTGGTCAGTGCTAGACCCAATTTATTTAAGTTGAGTTGGTACCTATTTGTTAAATTATGCTAAAACTTACCTAACATTAACTTAAGTGAAAAATTAATGGGGCATCGTTAACAAAGTGACTTTAATTTATTTACTACTTTTAAGTTAATGAAGATCATTTGATTCCTGTGAACCTTTGATAGGATAACATCAGAAGGGTCTTGTAAAATATTTTTCGAAATGCATCGAAGTAATTTGTCTGGATGGGTAATTGCTAATTGATTCCAATTATTACGACGTTTATATTTATGGTTTACTATTAATGTAGAGTTTTATATAAATAATTGTTTTGTCTTGTTTAGCTTTTTGCTTTTGAATTCTTTCACAACCTAGTATCTGCCTATAGGTTATTACTACAATATTGTAGAGGTAGGTATTTACTGTAATAAACAAACATTTGCATGCCTGGAAAGGTGGAATACATGGTTACTGTAAAAATTGGACTAAGATCCATTGTATCACATGTTCCTGCGAATTTATAAATTGTCTATTTTATAAATTGTGGCTACGTAAGGCCAAGCCATGATTTATCCTATTGGAAAGTACCTATCTGTAAAAACAATGAATATCTAACATCAAAACATTTCACCTTTTTGAAATCAACTAGGTGAATAAAAATTTAGGTACGTAACGTCTTTTTTATTTAAATTGTTATTGGTTGACATTTGAGTTAAGTGTTGATGATGTTCCACGCCGCCGATTTAGCGTGGGCACACAATACCTGACAAAAACTTACTTAGTACCGGAAACATCCAGAAAAATAAGAAAAATATTTTCCATACTTTCCTAGCGACCTTTTAGAATGTGGGCGTTAATTCTCGCACTAATATCTATTCTATTTACATAACTATAGGTGCGATTATTAAAAAAAATCTCAACAAAAAAGTGCCTTAAAAGCCAGCGGAATATTCATAGAGTACAACAATAGGGTAGACTGGCCGGTTGTATTTTTAGCGCAGTATAAATTAAGTGAGCGTCTAGTAACAGCCCTCGTAGTCTCGTAGATCAATTTCAGTCTCGCACCTGTCAAAACTTTCTCGTATACTGTGTAGGTAATTGTTTGCGGTGTTTCGCGCTAATGCTTCCAAATTCCTACCGAACTGTCGGATTCCGAGTTCCGAGTGCTTCGAAAATACAACAGAAGTT